GAGAAAATATTTGGAAATTTTACAAGTACACAGGTCAAGCTGGCAGCATGGGGGCAGAACTTAGCATTAAAAATTGAAGAAGGAAAGACTGACGTGGAGTCCCTACAGAAGGCTTTAAGTGTAGAAGGATTTAGCTTCTACTTGATGTGATATAGAAGATGTGATCAGTAGCAGGATGCAGAGAGGAGTATCATAGCCAAAGCTCTGCCCTTTTGGTTCCTTAACTCAACATTTGGGGAGTACAGAAAAGGAACAGTAATGATGTTTGACACCAAGAGCCCTGGGTAAATGTTATAGCTGTGTCAACAGACAAAAAAAGTCTTCCTCTTCAATATGCAAAAATAATCGTCAGAAATTAAATCATATGCAAACCAAACCAAAGCTGACATCTAACTTGTAACCCCAAATGACAGGCAGAGCTGTGCCATCGCTCACAGGGAATAGAGGCTGAGAGTGTTGGTATTAGCCATTCTGAACTAGAAGTGGTGTTTAATTATGCGATAAATATCACAGAGAAAAGGTGAGATTTGGTTCTGTATAGAAGCCGAACCACTCTCAATCATATTTGAAAAGTCGTGGTGGTCAGGTGAAGTCCCTGCTGGTAGAAAAAAGTCACACCCATTTTTAAGAGGAGTAGATAGGATGATCCAGGAACTAGCAATCTGGTATAGGACTAGGAGCAATGGCTTAAAACTTGAATATAGGAAGTTCCATACAAACATGTGGAAGAGCTTTTTGGTAAAGATGACAGAGCACTGGAGTAGGTTGCCCCAGAGAGGTTGTGGAGTCTCCTTCTACAGAGATATCCCAGACCCATCTGGATGCCTACCTGTGTAACCTATTGTAGGGTACCTGCTTTAGCAGGGGTGTTGGACTTGATGAGTTCTTGAGATGCCTTCCAACCCCTGCAATTTTGTGATTCAGTGGTTCTGTGTGAGGAAAGTGAGCACAAACCCATTTCTCTGTGACACAAAGGTTTTCAAAAAAAACCACAAACCAGTGGTCATATGAAGTGCAGCTGGGTGACCACAGAGAACACTGTGCTCCAGCACCCAGATCTGGGTAAGAAGGGACAATCTGACTGTGATTTGAGCTGCCTGCAAGGGACAGAATACAAGATGAGAAAAATCTTCTGCAGAAATAGAGAAAAATATCTCTAGAAAGCAATAGAAAATATATCCCTATGTTGAAGCTAATGTTCTGTTTGTATTACAGTTACAACCACCATCTCATGCTTCACAAGGCCCTTAGCATCAGCAAAGGAAAAAAAAACTCAGGCCAAATTTCTTGTAACATTTTTTACAAATAAATAGGACTATTATTATACTATTTAAATCCAGCTAAGAAAATAAGCATCTCAGAATCCAATAGTTCAAATGAATGGGATTCTGTGTTTGTTTATATACACACATGCTTTTACTCGAGCAAAACATGACAAAAGAGACACTTCTGATAACAGTGACAAGTAAGATGAATGTAAAATAGAATAGTCAAAAAACATATTTGATGGATAAGGTTAAGGATAGAAGCCTCAGTAGTGATTCAGCTAATGAGCCTTGTTTTATTCATCTCATGTTAGTGCTGCCAGGAATGTATCAGTCGAACGACACTTTTAGTGACCTTTCAGGCACAGCAAGAACAAAATGCCTGCAGAAAGGGCAGCATTTTGCATGTTTTAAGAAACTACCCCAGAGTCCACGGGGAGCTTTTAGCGCAGTCTGGACACTGCAGGCTTTGCAAGGCTGAGAAGCTACTGCCATGAATCAAACTTGCTACAAAGAAATTACTGAAATTCTTTGCATTGAAATTCACTTTCTATTACTTATGTTTACATACCTAGCCACGTTTGTTGTTGCATTGTACATGTACATTGTACATCTCAACAAGGTCTCAATAGTATCTTCTGCCCTGGTTATCAAGAGTGGTCAGGTGCTGGAGTGGGCTTCCTAGGGAGTTGGTGCAGTCATGAGTGTTACCAAGGGACATGGTTTAGTGGGAAAATATTGGTGGTAGGTGAGTGTTTGGACAGGTGATCTAGGATATCTTTTCTAACTTTGGTGATTCTGTGGTCATTTGGTTACACACGTGGGAGCTTCTACTATCAGCCTAACACAGCTTTATGATCTTGTCTTGTCACCTAACAATCTGGTGTAGTAACACTTTGTGTTTACTTTGTGCAGCAGGACAAAGATGAGTGCACATAGAGATACTTAGCATGCATCTTTCTCTTGTGCCCACACAAACTTTTTTCACTTAGAGAAATCTTTTTTTTTTTTTTTTTTTAACACATTGTTTCATTCTTCCTTTCTGAAAACAACCCTAAGGCACCCTTGAGACCTTTTACCCCATGATTGTAAAACAGAGCATCAAGACCCACAGCCTTCTAATAATGATTTACTGGTTGCATGAAGGGTCTTGAGAAGATGAAAAAATGCAAAGCAGGACAATTCCATATCAGATAAATTGCATGAATTGACACCAGTGGGATACTCATTCAAACGTACATCTTGTCAAAAGTCAAGAGTGAGAAAAACAAAACAAACAAAACAAAGCTAAACAAAAACAAGCAGACAAAAAAGTTACAGCAAAAGTTTCCATTCTTTTTGCTTCATTCATTATGTTTGAGGTTTTTTTCATTTCCTCCAACTTAGTATTTCACTAAATAACATTCATAGTAAATTCTTCATTCACTTCCTATTAATGTAGTGTGCTTCCAAACAAACATTCATGTTGTAATACAGTTTTTCTGATTGTTGCAAGCAGTGAATAAGTGGGAAGCAACAAATGGTATTTATCTTGATTTTAGCAAGATTTTGACCCTTTGAGATGTTTGCAAGTAAGCCAGTGAACCACTGCCCAGATAAAGTCAGTTTGCTGCAAAATTGCTTAAAACTCTGTTTGAAATTTAGTTATCAACCAGCTGGGATGACATTTCAGATGGGATCCTAGTAGGACTTTGGCTAGTAAGATAATGATCTTCATTGTTTTTATTAACTGCAAGGATGTTAGAGAAGAAAATGTTTACAAAAATTTCAGATAAAACCAAGCTGGAAGGGTTTGGAGCACTTGCAAGGTTGGGATTAGTACTCAGAATGAGCTTGAGAAGTGGACTAAAAAAGATGAAATTCAATACAGACAAGTATAAAAGAACTCCTGTGGGGTACAATCAATCTGAACTCTTCAGACAAAAGACCACCTGGATAGACTACACTTATCAGATAAAGATCTGATTATTTAGCATGAGTGTGATGCCTTTGGAAAAAAGAAAAAAAAAAAAAAAAAAAAAGGGAAAAAAGAGAAAGAAAAGAAAGGAAAAGGAAGAAAAAGAAAAAGAAAAAAAATAGAAAAAAAAAAAGGAAATAGTATCTACAAAAAAAACTTTAAAATAGTCATAAAAGGAAAAAGAAATGGCTCATTTTTCTTCATATCCTTTGGAAGAGAAGACCAAAAAGTAGAAAAGTAGTTAATTTGCAGGAAATTAAATTTAAATTAGACATTAGGAAGTTAGGCACATGGAAAGGCAACACAGAGAGACTACAGAATCTTCTTCATGACTAGTATCAAAGATTAATTTAGTTAAATGTCATTCTGAGACGGGATATATTTAATCCTGCCACAGGGCACAGAATTGGATAAATGACTTCTTCAGGGGTCATTCTGGCCATGAAAGAAGGTGGATGACAAGCTCAACATGCCCATGGTTGCAATGGAGGCAAACAGTGGTGGTCCAACATAGAGTGTTGGTGGCTATTTGCTTGCAAGCTAGATGGTGGACAGAGGATTACAAGAACATGATGTTGTAACACTTGGAGTGCATGTAAAGGCACTGTTAGTGTGGTAGATATTGAGGGAAATCTTAATTAAAAAAAAAAAATCTCATAAATGCAAGTTTAAGGACATAACCACTGTGAAAGTTCTCAAACCAATAGTTATAAATCTACATTTTGTGATTTTTGTGGTAATGTTACTGTGTTTATATCTACAATAAGGCATCTTCTGTCAAAATATTTTATTACTTTTTCTGTTGTTATTATTTTTTAATGTACACAAAGCCAGTCTGTCATTAACACTGTACAGACTTATGAAGAATGCACTTCTATATCTGAATTCTTTCTCCATTTTCTTTCAAAGTAAAATCAATTTCACATCTGTGTATGAGAGACAATATGTCAGGAACAAGAGGTGCCCAGAAATAAACCTGAAAAGCCAACAGTCAGATCCCTTGGTGCAAAAGAAGCAAAGGGTGTGCATTTACCTGTGTAAAAAGAGTGTTAAATTAGAGAAACAGGAGTTTCAGAGTCAGATGAGATTGAGTTGCCCTGGAAGTTGTTTAAAATAAACATGAGAAGACCATTGGGAACTGTGAGTGTTGTGAATTAATAAAAAACACCCACCCTGCAACCTTCCTACAGACCTCCAGTGCCTCGAGAGAAATGCTGCTTCCCTTAGATCTGTCTCATCTCTGAAGCTCAGATAAATTGTTCCAGCCCTCTGCGCATTGCAACCCAAATGTCAAAGGAGGGAATCAGGGAAACTTCTGTGTCTCAGAGTCAGATCAATGTGCTTTCTCCTCTACATCACTAAACCATAGTATGTCAGCAAGGCAGACAGTAATCACAGTCAGAAGTAATGTATTCACACTAACAAATAAATGGTTTGCAGCATCTGTAATGTCTGAATAGCATGTTGCTTTGTACTCCAGTCAGGTGGCCCACACGAAAAAGAGTGAGATGTGTCTCTTCCTGACAGACAGACGATTTTTATTGCTTATTGTCTTTCTGTGATTTAAAATTTATTTTCATTTAAAAGATAAAGAAGGACCTTTTCCTTTTTCCTTTTTTTTCCCACCCATTTTATGCGTCACCACAATTAGCTGTTCTCATTTTAACAGATTATTAGGGGGTCCGTCAAAAATAATCTGTGCCGGGTGGCTCTTGAATGATAATGCCTATCACTTTTGCAAAGATGTTTCTAATGAAGGTAATTTGCTTCTTTTTCAGTTGATTTCATAGGTGGATTTGACTCTTACGGCTATCAAGGCCCACAGAAGACATCTCATTTACAGCTACAGCCTATGTATATGTAAGTACTCAACTTCAGAGATGTTCTGCAGTGGCAGGCTGATATTAAAGGATCATTGAAGTGAAAGATGACATCACTTAAAAATTCAGAATAGGCAGAAGCCTTTTTGCTGAACTGAATTCAAGCTACACTTAAGCACCGGCATTATTCTTCTGCTGGTTGATAATGATTTCTTATGCAGGATACAAAGTGTCGCTGTTGTTTAAATAACACTGAGCTCTCACCTGATTTTACCTCATTTCCATTCATGCAGATTCCACTCCAAGGCAGCACAAATTTCATTTAGTAGGAACTAGTCAGCTGACAAAACTTGGATGTCAAAAGTGGACGCATTCAGTATTAGTCTCTACTAATACAGATATCTGTTCACTGAAGCACGTCTATGCCTCATTTCCAGTCTCTACATTAAATTATAATAATAAAAGAAAAAAAATAGCAACATATTGTTTTTAAAAATAGATTGAATAGAAAGTGGTATTTTATCTATCCAGTGAGAGTGAGAATTCCATCCCGCCTAGAAGTGCAGCCAAACACATAAATCTCAGCACACAGACTCAACTGAAGTACATTCACACTGGAACTTACACACAGACATAGACCAAGCCAGAAATAATAATCTCCAAATATTTCTGGATGCTCACTGCAATTCAAAGCAGCCCTGACTGCCTAGATAAATTGTACCTTACTGCTGCAGCCTTTTGAATTCTGTTTTATTTACCATCATCAGCCAAAGTGACAAAAGTATAATAAGCAACAGCTCACGAGGGAGTAGCATTTAGTTTTTTCCTTTGTTACTCTTTTCACCATTTCTTGTGAGGAAAAAAAAACCTAAATACAGAAAAACAGTATCTATCCCAACACACACTCCCTACACCCTTTAGTATAATTTCATTTCTTGTGATTAATGGACTAAGTCTGCTGGTGGTTTAGTAGCTTTATGCATGGAACTGGCATTTATTCCTTTATCAGCAGTGCAATCAATTCTGCAGTAGTGCTTAGGATTGGGCCCTATGGGAGCTTTGCTAGGAGCTTTTTAATAATCTCAAATTACAATAGTACGTATCTCCAATGCCATCTTAACTTCAGCTTTCCATCTGTCTGTGCTCAAGTGAAGATTTTTCACCTGCACTTTTGGCGCAGTGCTGTGCATTTAGAAAATGTTATTTCCTTCCTAGTATTATGTGTGGCTCATAGGTGCTTAGAACAATTCTAATCCTATTTCTTTCTCAGTATACCATAGCTTGCATCAACATATGGAGCCCTCTAGCTGAGATATTATCCCATTCTCTTTATGCTCTCAGTGTTTCTTCCAGAACAGCAGATTACATTTAGTAGCATCTTCATACTGACAGAAAAGCAAACTAGATCCTCTGAAAAAAAAGAAGGTGATATTTTTACACTTTTAGCTGAGATAGAGATGTATGATGAATCCATGTGAACTGTGTTCTGCCTTATTTCAATCTGCATTCTTGGTGTAGCGTAGGTGATTTTGGTGTCTTAACTGGGAGACAGAAATCAGTATGTAAGTTGACATTTTGTCCAATCAACCCACAAAAGTATTGCCATGTCCCAGCAGCAGTCAAACAAAGACACTTCATGTTTCCCTCTGACTATGTAGTATTTGACAAGGTCCTCTAGAATTGCTGCAGCCTGTTCTTAAGAAGCTTTTACAGCATTTAGGAATACCTTTTTGTTGTTTACAACTGAGGCATGCTAGGAGCGCATGCATATGTATTTGCACTGCAGTTGCTCCATAAATGTAGGCAGGCCATTAGGCAGTTGAATGACAAATTTGAATGTCAAATTAATCAAGCCGTCGTTTGATCTGCTTGTAGCACTATTTACAGCAATAATATATACTGGAAGTCAAAACAAGCTGATATGATAACAGCAGGCTATAGAAAATGTTTTAAAGCATTATTTGTTGGAAGGAACAATTGGGTTCCTTAGGGATTCTTATGGATGTTGACCACCAAAGAATATTAGCATTAATCTCTGTAGTATTCAAGAAGAAAAAAATGTAGAAGACCTTACTCTCTAAGTGAAGTCACCTGCACCTTACAGTACTCAGCATTCCTTGGGAATGAGTAAGATCAGAATCATTTGATGTAGAAAAGCAGAGGACAGAATAGGAAAGACCTCTGCTTTATGTATGCTGCTGCTGTACTCTCATGAAGTCATAAGAATATAATCATATCCATTCAGGATACAACTATTCCCATATATATATCCATAGAGCTATGTCCATGTAACAATTTCCATGATTTTATCAGCTGCTAGAAAAGATTGTTGAATCCATAGACAACAGAGAATATACTAAACTTTATCTCAATTCCTGCGAGAGACCAAGAAAATGTAAAGGCAACTTGTTGTCTCCTTTATGTGCTTTACTATCCAGGCTCACAGTGAGTGCAACTAGTGAAGAGAAATCAGAGATAGATGGTTTATTTTACATATTCTGGCTACTGTCAAAAGCACAATAACACTTCTTTTTTTTTTTTAATCGGTGGTATAGTAGTACATATTGGCCAGCATATCAGGCATGCAATAGAAATGAAAGAGAAAAAATGACCTCAGCTTTGCAGGACTCACTAGAAGAATATCAGCTTGTAATAATGATGAGGTTCTGACAAAATGCAAATTTTAACATGTATTTCAATAATAAGTGTAAAAACATCCCTCATTATTTACTAAATCATTTCATATGCAGAAACAATACAAAGGTGTTTATAATTGTGTGGTAGCTGTCAGTTGTTATCCTCATACTGCTTGCAGACATGAATTGAATTAGCAGATTATGATGACAGAATTCCATCAACACAAACTTTTGTCTCAATTCAAGCCAGACTGATTTACATCCAAGTGATTTAAATCCATCTGAAGTGTTTTACACATGCACAGTTTAATTATTATCCTGAAGGAATGCTGTGTTCAGTACTTGCTAACTGTTAAGACACACTGTTTTGCAACCAGAACTTTCTCCTGTTGTGCTGCAGTTAGCACTTCATTTTGTTAATTTGGAGTTTATACTGAACTTACACAAATCTACATTTGCAATTAAATAGTTATAATGATTTATTCAGACTCTTCATTTTAACATTTCTGTTCTGTCAGTAGTTATTTAATTAAAGAATTAATACTTTTGTGATTTCAGTCGAGCTCTCCCAAAAAGAGCATTATAACTCAGTTCACGCATGCACACTACGTTCATATAGAATTTCATCAGTTATGCAAAAAAAAATCTTTATTTACAAAAAGGAAGCATTGATAGTGAATTGAGGTGACTATCTATGACTACTAATTCCATAAATTGCCTACTATTAGATTCAGACTCACCTTGTCTCTTTTCTCTACATTTTAGGCTTTGAGTTCCAATCGAAACTTTCCATGTCAACTCTTGCAATTTCACCTTTAATTTAAATCAGTGTTGTTTTATTTAAAGAAAAAATCAATTTATACTGTTTTAAATAAAATAATGGTGCTTTGGGGGAGGATTCTAATTGTGACTATTATCTACCTGTTATAAATGGCTTTTTCATTGTTTAAGTGCCAACAGTGTGCTCTATGCTGTGCAAGCCAAGAAGCCTATGCAGTCCCTTCAAAACGAATATGCATTTTAACGGGACAGAACCACTGCTCATGTATCTCCATGCAGTGTGGCCACAGCTGATGTCCTAAAAAACAGCTTCCCAGCATTCTGAGCTGGAGATGCCAGTGCTCATCTCCAGACAATGGGACGAGAACACAATAAGATGATGGAAATCAATTGTCAAGAGAGAATTCTGCTCTTGGGAGGTGACCGCGGATGGTGACTAAACACTGTATGCACTGATTCTGCTGTACATGAAAAAAATACAGTTATGATCGTGGAACAAGACTGCACTGCATGACCACAGTAGGGAGGAGGAACAGGAAAGAAATTTTTCTTTCCTTTCTTCATGATAAACTTGCTTGTTCATGAAAAGAAGAAGTGAAGCGAAAAAAAAAAAAACATGCATGTCTGATGCTGATTCCTAATGCACTGGAGAAATTGCTCAAAAGCAGCTTAGCCCTAAAGTGAAACTTGCTTTCCTTGTACTGAGAAGTCTGTACTATGTATATATACATATGTATATACATATATATACGCATACATGTGTACTATATATACATAGAAACACATAATTATGCACATACAAACCCTACATATATGCGTGTATACACACACACACACACACCAGGGCTGCTCTGAAATCAATGCATCCTATTTTATTATGTTGACTGTCAGCCTCAGAGTCAGATGTTGGTGTTAGGGCAATAGAAGGTGAACCTTTCCAACAGTACTATCAGCAAAGCCTTGTGTAGCAACCAACAGTATCTCTTCTGCCTCAGATTGTGAATGCTTGGGTTTAAACATAGTGGTTGAGGTTGACACTGGCTTTCTGACTATAACTAATTACTCCTGCTTGAAGTATGATTTTGAATGGTTTACTAACCCTGTGCTGACTTCTCTGAATGTACTCCAAAGGAAACCAAGTGATCACCTGAGCAAACACCTTTTCCTTTCTGTCCTCTCCTACTTGTGCACAGCCGAGCTGTTACTGGTTAGTGGTTTACACTGGCTTGCAAAAGGGCACCAGAGCTGCAGGGCAGTAATCAGGAATGTTTCTGGTGAATTATATGTATCTTTGTTTCCCTATCTTTCTCCTAGGTCAAAGTGAAAACGGGGACTGCTCAAGGTGGGCTGGAGCACCTGTCAAAGAAAATGTCTTGGGATTGCCCTCTGGTTCTTCAAAGAGCAAAAAAAAATCCAGTTTTTGTGCTAAAAAAACAAACAAACAAAAAAGGCTGATTGAACAATGAGACAAAATACAACAGACACATTCAGCCTCTCTTTCTAACAGGTACTAAGGGAGATGCCCCAGACCTCCTTCCTGCTTCCCAGCACCACAGGGCCAGAGCAGAGGCGCTGGTGCTTCCCTCTGGCTCCTCTGGACTGCAGCCTCGACCGCCAGTGGGGCCCATCTGGATTAAGACACGAACCAAGCCAATACAGTGCTTTTGGAGCCCCCTCCGCACTCCTGGCCGCATTCAGTCTCTGTAGTCAACACAAGGCTAAGAATACTCGGATGACCTTGCAACAGAAGTCAATAGACAGCACGTTGTTTGCCCTGAAGGCTGTACAGTTCATACTTGCCTTAACCTAACTGCATTGCACATCAGAGAAACTCAGTGCAAGCTTTCTGAAGTAACGTCCTTTAGGCTCAACACGCTGTCATTAATTCTGAACGATTTCTAAGTCAGTAGTTTTCTTTGTTTTGTTTTGTTTTCATGTCAGGGAATAAGGCTCTGTTGCTCCGTGGCTCCAGAGTGACCTAGTAGAAAACTGCCAGCTATCAGAAAGTGCTTTACTTTTGAGGCTCCACAGTGGTCAAGAAACAAACCGTTTATAATGATTAAAAAAAAGAAGAAAAAAAAAAAGAAATAAGATCTTTTGGGGGGTCAGGGAGGGGGAAGGGGTAACATAGACTAATGATTGAACCTACTGGAAATAAGCAACATAAACAGTGCTTCTTAATCCCGCTGTTTTTGTTTATCGCACTTTAGGTGCTTTTATAGCTATCTCTAAATGTCTTTTACTAACTACAGAGACATCTGCAGATTTCTATCAACAAAGGCCAACTGAATATGTACTAGCTATGTTTACTCTTTTATATCTAATTTCAACTGAAAATTCTCTGTAAGTGAACTTTTTTTTCTAATCGCACCCTAAGGGATCTATATATTTTATTTTTTGGTTTCGGTTGGGGAGGGCGGGAAGGGACTAGCTGAGTTGAAGAAATATTGAAGACCTTTTTGTGGTATATTTGGGGGATCTGTTGTGTGTTAGAATGTGTATTTTATCTTCCTGTATTATTGTGGCTGAAAAAAACTGTGCTGTTACGTAGTTGGCAACAAGATGCCTTTGGGAATTTTGCTAGTAGGTCAATGTGTATATGAAATACTCTGAACTCCTAGGAACATATGTTTTGTTCTAAATCTGATCTGTATTTTCAAGCACTTAGGTGGCTTTCATTAGGAGAAACCAATGTTTTACTCAGGCTTTTCAGGATCTTGAATTATCACTGTTTCTTTGCTCAGACCCTGCACAGGCAAATACACACGTCTACACACCTGTGGTGGCCACATAGGTTTTGAGGGCAAGGGGGAAGGTCAGTGCGTGGAAGCGCTCAAGCTGCCCTCAAATGACTGACTTTTCCTCATTCGCCAAACCCTGGTGCCCACGTGGCTTCTGAGCTCCCACAGCCCATGCACAAACTCAACGCATCCATCCCTATACAAACCAATGCCCTTTGCGTGTCTGCATGGATGTAAAGTGTCACAAACCACCACTCTGGACAATGACAGAGGAACAGACCAGTGAAGATAAGATACAGGACACGTTCAGGAACTATACTTACATTTATCCAGTGAGATATATATATATATTTATGTACGTGTGTGTGTGTGTGTGTATGAATATATAATACACAGGAATAACTATTGAGAGGGGCTGCATAATCCTGGGAGTGTCTGGTGCGTGGGGCCAGAACTCCAGGTCCTGTTCATTATTTCCTGCATGAATTAGGCAAGTCACTTAAGCCTGATCCAGTAGAACATTCAATGCTGTTTTGGATCTCAAGTTCAACTTTTCAGACTTGGGTACCTGAAATTCTGATCTCATTCTGGGGTGGAGCTGCTTCCCAGTCCCTGGGAAATCATGCAATTTCCAATTGCCAAGCTGAAATTTCCCATAAGCTGAAAATTTGTGAAAGTTTTATGTAATATTTAATGTAGCAGGTGTATAATATTAAACACAATGTAGAGGTTTAAATGGAATGAAAATGTCATAACAGGGTATTTTAGCTTTCCCTGTATAGCAGTTAATCAAAATCATGTTTCTATAAAAATCATTTTCTTAATATGGAAAGAAACCAGTTTAGGCACTTAACTGATGATCCAATTTTGAGCAGATAATTTTTCATACCTTTCAGTGATTTCCCACAGAATGGCAACTACAGGTAGTTAGCAATTTCAGAAGTCAGAAAATTTAACGAAGCATCTACAAATACTTTGTGGGCCTAATTTTAATTTTTAAAAAAAAAGGCCTTAATTTCTCTGTCTTAGTCTTCCCATCTATACAAAGGGAATAATATCTGCCTCACATATTTGTGTGAGGTTTGAACTGTTTATGTTTGTAAAGTGCTTAGGAAATAGGAAAAACATTTAATGATTAAGTATTACAGTGGTAACTGCTTATTCATATATTACATATAGAGTAGATATACACACACTCACACATGGATTACACATATATATATATACATATATGCCTATATGAAGTTGATATTCATAACCTTGCTTAAGTTGCAGTTAGAACACCACCATTAAAAGGAAATTAGGACTGTTGACTACTAAACTAAATGATTAGTGGACAGATCTCTTCTGGAAGCAGTTTAGAGCACAGTAAAGTGAGAATATCTGGATAACAATTTTGATTTGTACAGCTGTATCCTCCTCAAAATCCAGTAAAGAATGTTATTTTTCTAGGCTGGGCTTTTGTTATAAACTTAAATATTCAGAACGCAAGAGATACAATCCAAATGTGTCTTTTTTTTTCTTTTCTTTTTGGCATTTGTTAATTCTGAATGTATTTTTAACAAAAGTGATTTTTTTGACTTACTAGTGTAATTTGCATTTAAAACAATAAATGGAAAAAATATAGGTTTCCAAGCTATTCATGGCCCCTTGCTGCTATTCACAACTTACAGGAAACTTAGAATTACAGTTGCCAGCTGAGCAACAATGCAGGATAAAGAATCCTGTTACATTTACATGATGACAATCCTGATCTGTGCAGTGCATGGATGTGACAGCACTGAATAGAAATTGCTGGGTCATGACACCATTTTAATGCAGCCATAGGTAGCAAGAATTTTCATTATCACTGACACTAAAAGGTTTCTTTTACAAGACTGACTGCAATAGACTCTTCCCTTAGAAAGCATCTTTTTTTTTTGCCCACTCATTGTGAATTTTAAGCATATAGTAGGTTTACAGTTGCCAACAGTGTTAAATACGGCAGAAGTAATACTTGGTAAGAGCGAGCTATGTAACATTAATATTTCCATTGCATTCATTTTCCTTTATATGATATTCTTTGTCTCTATACTGCAATGAAGAAATCCTGTCTTAGGTAATGTCTTTACAGAGCTCTTGTATATTGACAGCTTGCCTAAGGGGCTTTAATGAGGGACCATATACATTTCAAGATATCTGATTGTGTTCTCTTCATACTATTCCTTAGTTCATTAATTGTTGCCTGTAGGATTTTTTTATGCTGTAACTGTAGTGAAAGTGGTACTTTTCAGTCAGGTAAAGAGAAAATGCTTGTGCTCCACTTGCTCAATTTAAGTACAGTTCGCAATTCTCAGGAGCCATACAGCATTTTGAAACAGGCTGGTGCAATATGTATTGATTCCCGAATGTCTCCAGATAGGAATGGCTGCTAACTCAGTCTCAGAAGGTTTTTTAGCCATTTGCACTCTCACCTTCCATTTGAATACACTGATAGCAGGCAAAACAAAACTACATACAGCACTAGTCCTTTCAGCATTTAATACTTTTATTTTCAGTTCTCTGTTTTCTTTTGAATGCAATTATTCAGAGGTTGTCTCTCAGTAAATCTCATCCAAATCCGAATCTGAATTTCCAACCAAAGGCAGAAAGCCTCGCAAATAGGCTACATATGTTTCTTTTTTTCATTTTCTTTCTTTCTTTTTCTTTCTTATTTGCTCCAAGAAGTCTCTTCAACTTACCTGAGATCAAACAGGTAAACTTTCTGAGTTTTTTTTCCAGCTAATGTAAATCTGGCTTCTTTATAGTGCATGTGGATTGGAGACAACCACTAAAGGTGAATGAGATTTTGTTAAAGAACCAATATATATTAGTATTGCAGAAGGTACTGTGTCCACTGTTCCTTTGGGAACGATGCGGATCAGTTGTCATGCTAATCAATCTGCTCCAAGCTAAGTGCAATAATAAATGTAATTACATTATATAAAAGAAACTGCCCTTCAAACTACAATTGCTCATTCTCATAAAGAAGTAGCACAACACCAAATGAGTGAATGAAAACCGTTTCCTTCTCTTATTGTCTATCAAACTTCATCCCCCTATGGATCACAGAAATTGTCTCTGGTCTTGCATCCTGACAGGTGCCTCTGTTGAGTCCTTGACAAGGAGAAACAACTGTGGTCAGCTGGATCTGTAACCTTCTCTCCTGATGGGAGAGAAGGAAGGACACTGTACCAAATACTGTACTTTAAGTAGTGTCATGCATGCATTGTTATCCATCTTCCTCCACACGTACAAAAGAGGTCTCTCAAAATGCTCTGTTCCTTCATCTCAGAAACCGGGACAGATAGTCTTTTACAAGGTGCTTCCAAATTCTGTTGACATCAGTAAAGAGTTTTTTCTTTAATTAAAGAACAATTTTTTCTGTTTTCTCTTGAGTAGAAGACAGCTCTCAAAACTTCCAGAAGCCTTGGGATTAAATATTTTGAGCAGACTGTGAAACTTGAAAATTCAAAAAATTGCTTGGGGCCATCTCTGTCTCAAAATGAAATCACGAGGACAAAGGCAAGACTTTCTACATTCACTAGTTAAAAAGCATCTTCACTATCATCTCTTACCTATCTACTTCCCCAGCATTGTCCCAGTCCTGCTGGCAAATAAGTCATATGGAGCTAAACATGGAAAAGTATTAATTTATACTCTTCAACAGTCTGCTGTATTCCCATGCATTCCAGAGTCACCCTTACCTGATAATAGTCCTCTCTTTTTTTCCGTCACCATCTTCCTGACCCTTTCTTACTCCTGTTCTGCCTGAATACATCTACAAATCTCCTACTTAAAATACATACTGCTCTTTGTCATATCCATTGTTTCAAACTCTCCTTATGATGACAGTGACTGCAATAATGGAAGATGATGTCATTGAGGTTATGTACAAAATTGGAAGAACGAGAAGCCTAAAGGTTACATATGTCCTCCAAAGGCCCAAGATATAGTGAAACACTTTATACAGCTATAAAGGTTGACAGTGTTACAGATACCATGAGATTCAACTGGCCTTAGTAAGAATCATTTTCAAATGTGCAATTGCATTTGCTAAAACTATAGTTCAGTTGATACAGGGAGTCATAAATACCTAGAGTTACACAAGATACAGGTGAAATAGAAACAGATTCATAGAAAATATGTTTATAAACAATTTGACCAAATCAGACTTGAATTTCAGTCTCTTTGAATTTGTCTCAGATTTTTTTCCAATTGCAAATATTTGGATGGTTGATTTCTGTGCATGCAGGTGTTCAGAAATGAACTCCTTGTTCCTAGGGGGACGTATAAGTGTGTGCAGTTACACTGATTTACGTGATATTCTCAGTATTCATGCATCTATGTGCATTTGCA